CATATATATTGTACATTCACATCAGTTGTTGAGCAGAAATGGAGATTCAGCAACTGTCACATCGGTGTCCTTTTATCATGTAGTGGTAAATGACCGCTGCTCAGTTCTCCGGCATTCTCAGAGAAGACAGTTCTCCTCTCAATGCCTTTTTATGAAGCAGTGTAGATCGCTTCTCCTAATGAAGAGAGAAGAGATCTACAAACGCTTTGAACGCTGGAAACGGCTGCTTTTACTGTAATCTCGCGAGATTACAGTAAGAGATCAGTCAAACACAGTTTACTGAGAAGCTGTAAATGAACTCTGCTTCATTTACAGTTCCCCCGACTCTCCAGGTCTGAGCTGGAGAATCTGGAGGGAGAACACATCACCAGTGAAGGGCTGACATCGCTCCTTCATACACTGGCCGTCTGTGTGCTGAGATGATCAGCGGAGAACATGTTCTCTGCTGATCATCTCTGTTTCCTAAACCACTAATGATTGGAGATCAGCAATAATCCTCAGGATCGCCGCTGATTTCTGTTTCATAAAAGTAAACCATTGTTTGAGGAGAAAGGAAAATGCAATACATGTTTTATATGATCTGTTTACCAACAATTGAAATTATCTTGGTGTCTGTCATCCGTTTTTGGTCTGGCACACCTTATTTTATTTTTATGGCATTAGATGACTGTCATCTCCCAACCTTACATACAGTCCAATGAGCGTCTCAAATGGCCATCTCCTTTTGAAGCCCAAATTATGGGTATTCCTGTGGGGATCACACCATAGAAATGCAGTTTGGATGCGTTTCTGCATGCACATTTTTTTACGTGTTTTTTAATGCGTTTTGATTTGTTTCTGGTGTGTTTTTTGTACGTTCTGGTGAGTTTTTGATGCGTTCCGGATGCTTTTTTCCCTCCTTTTTGAGTCATTTGGGGTCCAATGCCTTTTTGATGCGTTCCAGTTCATTCCAGGGCCTTTTTTATGCGTTTTACTGCGTTCCAGTACAGTTCAGGAACTATGCATCAATGTTTTTTTTTTTTTCTGAAAAATGGTATGAACCATGCCATTAACAATCATGTAGCCTACTTTATGTGCGTTTTGGATACAGAAAAATCACACTGGAATGCATGTATTGTGAACTAGCACTAAAAGTGACAGGTCCCTCATTGCTGCGGTGATGTGTGTCGATTAGTGGCTGCTTTTGTACATCCGGCTTTGTGAGCTTTCAGTTTTATGCAGGGGCGGACTGACCATTTGGAAACTCGGGCACTGCCCGAGGGCCTGGGTTCAGTAGGGGGCCCCATGAGATGCCCATGGTACCTTTTTCATAGGCTTTTTTGAGTTTGGGCAAGGACACAGGGGCCCCACGATCCCCTATTGCCCGGGGGCCCCATGAGTTGTCAGTCCGCCCCTGGTTTTATGAAAGAATAATCAGCGATCTTGGGTCAGTGCAGTCCATAACACAGCCTGACATTGTTGATCGATCATTCGTAAAAATAAAAGGTCACTTAGTGCTGCAGCACTATGTGATCCATCAGCATGACTGTGTATGTGTAAAAGTAACTCTGACAGACACACAGTCCCCCAGGCTGGTTTTTGTATGTGTGTGTGTGTGAATGCCAGCGCTGATCTCCAGAGGGGGCCCAGTTGCCAAAGACCAAAGCTGTCAATCACAACTCCATCTCCTTTCTGGCGTGGTATCTGACAGGGGAGGAAAACCTGCCCCACCATGCTGCTTAGATATAGGGACAGAATTGAACAGAACCAAATGCTATATGCATGTGGTCCTCTGGGGAGTTAAATAACATTAAATATTTTTTTTTTTTATATTAGTCCTTCTTTAATAAAGCATAAAACACCAATAGGGTGAGCAATCGCAACCATTAATTAATTCTCTGTCATTGTTCTGACTGTTCTAAACTGAAAATAGGTCTTGCTCCTGGCACGTCCATGGCAAGGCAGGTTCCCAGTTAAGAATAACTTCAGACAAAAGTCATAACCATAAAAATGAAAAATAAAAAGCTATTTGTCATGTATTTTATTTTTTTTGTGAAATTTAGAGAAATGTTTTTTTCCTGTAGTGACACACTGGGTGGGGGCAGAAGAAACCAGGTATCTGAAACACAGAAAAATGTCAAATGCTGGGAATTTTTCAGCAAGCTTAGTTCATCAACAGAGAGCAAATATTGGTGTCACAGTAGGTGGGAAAGGTAAGTATTAGGGCCCATTCACATTCAAATGCAGTGCAAGAAACCTGTCTTCTGTGCATGCTTCCCTTATCGTGCTCTAAATGTCTAAGGACACCCCAAATTCAGATGATAAATGCAGTTCGTTTGCCTGCACCTCATCACATGGTACCGCAGTGCATTTTTAAAAGTAGTGCATGCACTATATTTGGTGAGATCCAGTGAGATTTTAGCCCATTCAAATGTTTGAACTGAGAATAGCATCACGCTGAATCACGTAGGAGTCGCACAGAAACATAGAGTGCATTCCTGTGCGATTCCAACACTTGAAATAGAACTCCAGCCAGAAATAACAGCCAGCCAGCTAAAAATGACTAGCCCATTAAAAGGTAAAATAATAAAACTATCATTTGCTGCAAAATTCACCTTCAGTGCAAATTTTTCCTGCAGGTTTTTTTTCTGCTAATAGATGTTCTTAGTTTGGTGGCCAGTATCATTCAACCCACTTCTGAGCTCAGGATATCCAGGATCTGCCTCAGCACCTGACTGGACAGTGAAAGGAGAAGCTGCACAGTGATGACATCGGCTCTTTGTAACTCTGCCTTCTCCTATCAGTGGGCTTCTTGTCACTACAATAAATAATTGGCTCCTTGTGTCTTTTCTTCACACCGCTTGAATTTAAAAATAATGAGAACAGAACTGTATTCGTTTGTGTCTTTCATATCTGCCTAAAGGTCAACTTTAAATTATCTTTTCATTACTGGGAGCCTTTTATTGCGGTTTTTAAAAATAACAACATAGTTTCTTTAAGATCCTCCTTACCAGGGAGTAATCTACTAGACGTGGTGGACCTGATTAGTGGCCATAGATATCTCCAAGAGACATGTACACGTTTGTTCCATGTCAGCTATTCAATAAATAGTGAAGGCATAATGGCACCTTCAAATATAAGCCAACTACCATGTTTCTTTTCTGACAGATTCCTATAAAACATGGAAACTTTTGTGGCCAATATTAGATGAGACATCAATCATCTTGCTCTAGAACAGGGGTTGTCAACGTTTGAGCTAGTCTGAAGGCCACACATCTAATACCAAAGGGCTGCATGTGGCCCTTGGGCCACATGCTGGGCACAAGAGCTCTAGAACATTGGTAGAAAGAAGGTCCACTGTGTATTACAATAGGTTAGATGCATCAGTAGTTGGTAAAAGAGTGAACACATCAGATCTGTCCAATCACACAATTCAGGAATAGGCCAATCAAGATTAATTAAGATTCTCCATAGTTGGGACGAAGACATTCTGACTTGTAGAGGTCATGCTAGAGTCCTCCTGCACACAATTCATTCCACCATAATTGTTATAAGAAAATCTGTGGATAAAACAAAGTGGCAAAACTAACAGCAGAAGGTAGAGGGCTGTAAAGTCTATCATCACATGACCCTATCAGAGAATCCCCAGGTACCGAGCTGCTCAGAGCCCTCAAAAGTGTTTTATATATATATATATACAGGGCTTTTTTTCTCAGAGGAAAGGTGGTGGAACTCCCCCACCCAAACCTGGCCACGCCCCCATCAAACCCTAGGACCACCCCTTTAGAGAACAGGAATGCAAGTAAAATTTGGGAGGGGCTATAAAAGTAAATGTATGGAATTAACACCGCCCCCCCCCCCACATTAGTAAGAATAGCGAGTAACACTGCCCCCCCCCACATTAGCAAGAAAAGCGAGAAAAATTGTATCGCCGCTCCTTACCTGATGCTGACGATCCGCGCTATGGTAGGATCGACGAGCAGAGGGCGTGATGACGTCAGCGCGCACCGCCGGGTGTACTAAGATACACCTTTCCTATGGGGGTGGCCGCGCGCCCCCGATGTTTACACGCTGGCGGTAGAGGGGGGGGGGTGAAGCGTGCATGTCCCCGCTCACCGGCTGTGAGCAGCGGCAGTGACAGGTGCCGGGCACGCGCAAGCATGACATAAACAAGCCGCGTTCGGCACCTGTCACTTTCGCTGCTCTGCATAGCTTGTCAGCTCTGCAGAGGCAGTCGGTGAGCGGGGACAAGAAGAAAAAGGTGGCGGAACGCAGTACCGCCGCGTTCCGGCAGAAAGAAAGCCCTGTATATATATATATATATATATATATATATATATATATATACACTATATTGCCAAAAGTATTGGGACGCCTGCCTTTACACGCACATGAACTTTAATGGCATCCCAGTCTTAGATTTCAATATTGAGTTGGCCCACTCTTTGCAGCTATAGCCGCTTCAAATCTTCTGGGAAGGCTGTCCACAAGGTTTAGGAGTGTGTCTATGGGAATATTTGACCATTCTTCCAGAAGCGCATTTGTGAGGTCAGGCACTGATGTCGGATGAGAAGGCCTGGCACGCAGTCTCCGCTCTAATTCCTCCCAAAGGTGTTCTGTCGGGTTGAGGTCAGGACTCTGTGCAGGCCAGTCAAGTTCCTCCACCCCAAACTCCCTCATCCATGTCTTTATGGGCCTTGCTTTGTGCACTGGTGTGCAGTCATGTTGGAACAGGAAGGGGCCATCCTCAAACTGTTCTCACAAAGTTGGGAGCATGGAATTGTCCAAAATGTCTTGGAATGCTGACGCCGTAAGAGTTCCCTTCACTGGAGTTAAGGGGCCAAGCCCAACCCCTGAAATACAACCCCGCACCAAAATCCCCCCTCTACCAAACTTTACACTTGGCACAATGCAGTCAGGCAAGTACCGTTCTCCTGGCAACCGCCAAACCCAGAAACGTCCATTGGAATGCCAGACAGAGAAGTGCAATTCATCACTCCAGAAAACACGTTTCCACCGCTCTAGAGTCCAGAGGTGGTGTGCTTTACACCCCTGCATCTGGCACTTTGCATTGTACTTGGTGATGTAAGGCTTGGATGCAACTGCTCGGCCATGGAAATCCATTCCATGAAGCTCTCTACTCACTGTTGTTGTGCTAAATTGAAGGCCACGTGAAGTTTGGATGACTCTGCAGACAGTTGGTGACTTCTGCGCACTGTGCACTTCAGCATGCGCTGATCCGCTCTGTCATTTTACGTGGCCTACCACTTCGTAGCTGAGTTGCTGTTGTTCCCAGTTGCTTCCACTTTGTTACAACACCACCAACAGTTGACCGTGGAATATTTAATAGCAAGGAAATTTCACAGATGGACTTATTGCACAGGTGACAACCTATCACGGTACCACACTTGAGTTCACTCAGCTCCTGAGTGCGACCCATTCTTTCACAAATGTTTGTAGAAGCAGTCTGCATGCCTAGGGGCTTGATTTGTACACTTATGGCCATGGAGGTGATTGGAACACCTGAACCCAATGATTTGGAGGGGTGTCACAATACTTTCAGCAATATAGGGTATAGTATATATAGTGTATATATGATTTCTTTAGATATAACCCAACTGAAATCTATAACAAGAAAAAAACAAAAAAACTATTAAACAATTGCCAGGAAGATGAACAAAATCATTATGGAAATGTTTTGGAAGTGAAAATAAATTAGAATGTAAATATGTATTTATTACCAGCAAAATCCCTATGTGTAGTCTGCATAACTCAAATGGTGGTCATGTTCTGATCTAGCAGATTTCAAAACAAATGTATCCTTTCTGCAGACAGCAATAACACAGGGTACCAGCAGAGGGCAGCAACTTGTTAAAAATAAATGAGTTTGATAGAAATAGAATAGAATGTAAGAAAAGCACACTGAGTTACATTTTTAAACAAACTATTACAGTTTATCAGTTGAGCTGCCTTTTCAGACAATACCAAGGTGGAAAAAAAATCCAAGGCTATTACTTTTGTAAAATATACATTGTAAACATAGTTGGTTTAATCATCTTATTAGATAAGTCAGGGAAAAGGGCAATGCCTTATGTGGTTGTGATAATATGCAAAGTGGAACTCATCACAACCAGACTACTGAAAGGAACAGAATGGAGATTGTATGTTCGTTTTTAATGTGAAGAATTAACATAAAATAGTTTTAACAGTCAATACAGGGATTTAGATATTTGATATACATTTATATAATTCTTATACTATGAATATCTTAACTGACAGTGAAAATGGACATATGTGATGTATAAATTATGCACATGTAAAGTATGTCTTTTGCTAGCAATTAAAGTGACCCTGTTTTTAAAATACAAAACTTTTTCTTCTTTCAGTTTTTGGACAGAGTGGAGATGGATAGAACACCTGTCAGTTTGTATTGCTGTCTGTGCCCCTGTTAGAGTGATTCACCCTCTCTATTTGTCCCATTTACTGTTATCATTCAAAGTAAAAGTAAAAGAAAATCCCACATTTTGGGCTATCCTCAGAAAAATAATAAAGGGGAAATCTTCCAATGGGTGACCTGGGGGTCGTCAAAGAATTCCCTTAATTTGTAGGGATTTCCTCACATTTCCTGTCTGGCTATGGGATAGGAAATGGGTGGAAATCTCCGCAATGGGACACAGATGACGAAAAAAAAGTCTGACGGTTTTAACCCTCCCTTATTCTATCAAAAATGAAAAAAAAAAATAGCCTATAGTTCTACTTTAACTTTCCCAGTGGCCGAGCCACTCAATCTGCTCAGATCACTAATACTAGAAGTGTCACTCTCCTAGTTCCCGCACAGCTTTCATTGCTTTCTCCCTCTGTCCCCATGTAACTGCAGGAAGAGATTGGTGATGTGAGGTCAGAGGATGGAACATGCGAGAGCTGTGGGGAACCCAGGAGACTGACACTCCCAGAAGAGTTGATTTCCCAGTGGACAAGTAGCAGTAGTAAACGGGTTTAATGGGCCAAACTCTTATATTTTTTGGAGGAGGTTTTTTTTTTTTTACTTTCTAAAAATTGCAAATTTGTGATAATTAAACACAAAAACCTAAAATTTGGAGATAATCAGAGCAGGAAAAAATTATATTGTTGAGAATTACTAAGCAACTACCATACTTTTTTTTTCCACGCCACCTAATATATAATTTATATATTTATTATCATTTTTTTGATGTGACCATCTAAACAAATGTAAAATTATTTTGGCATAGTATCATTTTTACAGTAATCCTTCAGCAATATGTAAAAAACTTACTATGGTGTAAATTCACAAAACTGCCCTAAAGACTAGTGGTTACTAAAAGTACACCATAGAAAAGACCTGGGCTCCACAGAGGGTGGAAACAAATCAGATGTCAGGGTTGGTTACAAATATGTTTGAACGCAAGTGAAGATAAAAGTGTATCAAGGTTGGAAATGCTGCATTCAAGTCACATTGTAATCAGCATTTTCATTATTTTGAACTTGGCTTGTAGGGTCACATAAATAAAAAAGAACCTAGACTGGACTAAATGTTTCTAAGCTAACTATGGATTTAAAATGCAGCCCCTGTGATGTCAACAAGTACCCGTAGCCTCCCTGGCGGTATTCCCGAGTGTAGCTCAGGGTAAAGTTTCAGTACCAGAAGCAGTAACCCCGAGCTACACTCGGGCTTACCATGCGGCGCTGCTCCGGGATCTGTTCTTCTCTTACCTTGTCCTGCGCTCCTGCGATGTCCCCCCTGCAGTGTCCCCTGTAATGTCCTCCAGCGGATGACGGCATCTGTCTTCTGGGTTCCATTTCCTGCGATGTCGGGACGTACGGGGGACGGAACGGCGGGAAATTTGAAAATGACAAAAAGTGACATTCACTAAATACACTAAAATCACATAGTAAAACATTCCTGTATCAAACCATTTCACATACATTTTGTCCCGAGTGCTTTGTCCTGTGCCCTGCCTGCATTTTTACTGTTCTTTCTGCCTGGAAACTGAGAAACGTCCATGGCGTCCAAAAAGCGTCCCTTTAGGTCAAAAGCGGTTTTAGACCAGCTAGAGAACAGCGATAGTAAATTAGAACTACTTGCAGAATTGAGTGATAATGATTCGTGGGAGAAATTCATCATCAGACACTGAAAACGATTTTGCGACTTTGCTCAGTGATATGCGAACTTGGCGCTATATTTCAAATTTTAGTGTTTTTGGTTTGATTATATTATTGAATTAAATTTATTATTTTTATATTATTATTTTTTTTTATGATTATTTATTAAATTATATGATTTTGTGTTTCAAATTTTAACATACCGGGGATGTTTACTAGACTCTTGTTCGGACAGATTTCAATGAGTTATTCCTAAAAATTACAGGCCTGCAATAAAAAAATACATATTTCCATGCAAAAAAAATGTACGACTTTGAGCACAGAAATATGGACATAATCAGACCACTAGGGAGGTTAATAGTCTTCCAGCAGATTTCTGTGTCCATTTGGAGCCCCTTTAGATTGGATGTCCAAGCTGTAAATGGAACTTTTACTTCTGCCCATGCTGAAATTACATCCCATCACTTCTTGACACCAAACCCAACCCAAGATTAATTTAAAGCTGAAGTTAGTTTATATATAAGGTAGTTCACATATTTAAACTGATCCATCTTGGATCAAGTAAGTATATATGTGTCATAGCTGTGGTATTCTTGTGGAAGATGGAAATCACTGCAGTAGATACCACTACTACAGTACTCTCCACTAGCTTTCAGGTTTTGTGCCAAGCAGCTGCCTAATGCATACTAAACACAGGGGGTTGCACGCTCGGCATGAGTGCCATTTAGAGGATAATTTGCATTTTTTCAATGAATGTGAAGTTTGCTCTGGTTGGAGAGAGTGGATATTGTAACATCCCCACCCTGCCTCTCCACCTTGTCCAATCAGGGAACAACTTTTTGTGAAAATGCAAAGTGTTTACTGGATGGCTCCCATGCTGAGTAAACAACCTCCTGTGTTCACAATGCAGCAGGGTAGCCACTTAGCGGGAACAGGAAGCTAGTAGAGATCACTAACTTCAAAAGCAGGGCCTACTAGATCAATAGCAAGGCCTATTACAGTGATTTCCAGCTTCTACAAGGGTTGGCCAGGAATGGCCAATCCTTACATTGGTACAAGCTGGACCAAGGCAACCAGCCAAAAACTGCCATACCTAAACTTCTGCTTTAAGTCAGAATGGGGTCCTAGGTCAAGTAGCTGCTTTGGCTGTCTGGTTTCTATTGACTAATATTGATAAGGACTGCAACGGTCAAATTTACATTGTCAGCCATGGTTCCTCTCTATCAGACACCAAGGGGGAAATTTACTAAAACTGGTTCTAACTTCTAACTTCAGTTTGTTGAACTGAGCTTTGACAATAAAACATGGAAGCTGATTGGTTTCTATGCAGAGCTGCACCAGATTTTTCACTCTCCAGTGTTAGTAAATAACCCCCCAATTGTTTACTAGTAGATCCTTCCTTGCAAAGTGGCAGGCAGGTGCACAGTATGACCAATTGCACTATTCCCTGGTTTATTGTAGAAGTGTGAATATAATGTAGCTGGGCCCACTTCCAGGCCAAATGGGACCTTTGCTTCTACTTTGATTGTTGTGTAGATGCCAGCATTGCCCCACCACCTGCCAATTAACCGTTAAAGGCCTGTGTTTCTCCCGCCCACCAAATGTCTCCCAGTTCATTGACAAGACTAATATACGTACTTACTGGCACCACAAGGAGCATTGTGAACATTTTAAGCATGGTCAGATTCATATTCTATGTACATTATAAAGGACACACGTACTTTTAAAAAAATCTGTTCCCCGCAATAGGCAGACATGTTGCAAGCATACAGCTATACTACTTATAGAAGTAAAAAGAAACGCCTTGGATAGTTAAGCCTGTATGACTACACTTTTTATCTTGTAGGTACAATTTACTGTGAAATGTATTTGCACTTTGACAAATGACCTCTAGGGGGTGACTTCGCCAAAGCTTTGTAACTTCAATGGACTTGGTTAGTTTCCAATAGTCAATGGGTAAAGGTGAACTATAGTATAAATATTACGCTTGCATAATACCATGTAACTTGCATTTCTTTGTAATTCACAGAAGCAAAGGAACCATGTATACAAAACTGACATGAGTATGTAGCTTTTCACTTTGCAGTTTTTATAATTAAAATTTGTATTATAGAGTAAACAGTGACATTAACAAATACCATTTTTTTTACATTTTACTTTTATTTTTTTGTATTTCTATTTTTAACATGTAATAATGATAGATAGATAGATAGATAGATAGATAGATAGATAGATAGATAGATAGATGTCCATACACAGCAAATTTTGGCTGGTTCCTGGATGAAATGTGAGCCGTAGGTGGTGCTGTCAACACTGTCCCACTCGACATCATTAAATCTAAGTCCTCATACA